AGCTTCCTTCTGTTTCGCAACCTGTAGAGCCTCCATGGGCGATGTAGGGTTGTTTTCAATGACCCTTTCTCGTACTTCGTCGTGCAACAACCCTTCTTCGAATTGGTGGAGAATACGGGAGCTGATTTCGGTTGCGGAGTCTCCTTCAAAAGCCACTGGAGCTAACTCTTGAAGTCGCCAGAGGAATTCCTCTGTACTTTCGCCGCTCTGCTGGACACATGCGTGAAAAGCAGCCCGCTGCCCAAGAACATGGGTATGCGGCGCAAATGCTTGACGCATCGCTGCAAATAGCTCCTCTACTTCCATCGTCTCTTCTGTGTCAACGCCGGCTAGCTTGAGGCGTTTCAACGCAGGTATTGACAGTAAACAGATTACAGCACTAGCTGCTACCTTGACGTGGTGGTCGGGCTTGAACACCGCAATGATCTATTCAAGCTATACTGGCTGAGACTTATGTCTCTTGAGGTTCTACCATGCCAGGCAGGTTGTTTGGATAGCGGTTAAACAAAAAGCAGCTACCCAATCCAACATCATGTCCAATACAAAATTACAAAATTTCATGCCGGATCGGCCGTGGCCCGGATTAACAACGACCGCGCTTCCTGCTGCCGTGTCACAGGGCAGGAGTGATAAATCTGCTACTGAGACACACCAAACAAAAAAGAACGAACAAAAACAGGCCGCGTGTGACCGGCCTCAAGCAGTTGTCCCCTGGGCTCTGCGGTCACGCAACCAACTTCCACGGTGTGGGCAGCCGGGAAGTAACAATCGCCCTCACAATCCGAAATGCACACGAAACCTCTCTATTACTCACTCATCTTTGTCTTCATCTTCATCTCTATCATCTTGCCTTCCTTCCACTGATGCAACTCCTCGACTTGATAGCTCTCCACTTCCTCTCCACTCTGCGTCCACTAAAAACGATGGAAGCCAAAAAACCACCACCGACAGCCTCTTAAAGCCGCGCCACCAATTTCATATAGGAGCTCTTAATGTTAGGACACTTTGCCAAATAGGACAACAAGCATCACTAGCCAAGACCCTGGCATCACGAGCCATTGATGTATGCTGTGTTTCAGAAACACGCATACAAGACCCAAGTGTGGTTATTCACCTAACCCCACCTGGCCAACAGGTTGAATCTGCAAAATTCACCTTGAGGGTGTCAGGAGATGCCACAGCTAGTTCACGAGGATTAGCTGGCGTAGGGATAGCTTTGAGTACTAGGGCAGAAAAGACATTGCTTGACTGGATCCCGGTAGATAGCCGAATGTGTGCTGTCCGCCTGAACGGATCAGTAAGAAGGAGGAAGGACTGCACTACTCGCCGATGCCTTTTCGTAATCTCCGCCTACGCCCCCACTGACTGCAGTTCAGATGAAACGAAGGATGAGTTCTACCAAAAGCTGTCTAGTTTGGTGGAAAGGCTAAACGCTCAGACATAGTCGTTCTAGCTGGTGACTTTAACGCTCAAGTAGGGAAATTGTGTCAATCTGAGAAGGATGTCGGTGGCACCTATGGAGCTCCGTGCCAGCGAACCGACAACGGTGACCGTCTCCTACAGTTCTGCTCTGATAATCATTTGTTTCTTGTAAGCACTAACTTTAAACACAAGGAGAGACACTGTTTGACTTGGAGACCCCCTTCATCAAACCAACGCTGGACACAAATAGACCACATAGCAATAAGCTATCGTTGGCGTGGGTCGGTAGGAGATTGTCGCTCCTTCTGGAACACGTGCGTAGATACCGACCATGCACTGGTCCGCGCTCGGGTGTGCTTACGACTGAACGGACGTAGGAAACAGCTGGCGGTAAAACCATCACGTCCCCAGCTCGATCAGGAAACTAAATCCGTATTTGAGGAAGAACTAGCTAAACACATATCTGTGTTCGACAGCTGTGCTCACCCTGAAGAAGCTTGGAAAAATATCCAGGCAGCCATAGATACAGCTGTAAAAGCTGTGAATAAGGTAAACCCAAAGGTGAGTAAAAACCACTGGATCTCCACCGCCTCATCCGAACTGATAGATGCTAGAAGACTTATTCCGGCGAGCTCCGAATTCAATGAGGAGCGAAAGCTGCACAAGAGGAAACTTACGAAAAGTCTCCGCAAGGACCGTGAACAGTGGTGGGCGACAAAAGCCAAAGAGATGGAGAAAGCTTGAGGATAGGCAACACCAGGCAACTCTTTGGACTCATCAGGGAAACGGGTGGGAGAAGACAAATCATCAGTGAGACAATCTCGGAAAAAAATGGCACTATAATTAGCTCCAGGATAGACGACTGGATCGTTGGAAAGAGCATTATGAGGAGCAGTTTAATTTGCCCACAGCCACGCTCAACCTTCCGAGCATCCAACACCTCCCTGAATGGGATATAGACACAGGTCCTCCGTCACTAACTGAGGTTACTAAAGCTGTCACCAATCTGAAACTAGGCAAAGCAGCGGGACCTGATGGAATGACTCCAGAGGTATTTAAGTACGGTGGAGACAGCTTACTGTCCGGATTAACTGAGGTACTAGGCAGCGTCTGGGAATCAGAAGAAGTCCCATCGGGTTGGTGTAAGTCACTGATTATCCCCATATACAAGAAGGGAGACAAGTCTTCCTGTGATAATCACAGAGGGATTAGCTTGACTAATATAGTATCTAAAGTCTTAGGCTCAATAATCATGCGTAGACTGAGTGGTGCTCGGGAAGCACAAACACGAGAGAGCCAGGCAGGCTTTAGACCAGGAAGAGGGTGTATTGATCATATCTTCACCCTCCGACAGATTCTAGAACATAGGCATTCCTACCGGCGTCCAACAGTCATTATATTTCTTGACCTAAAGGCAGCATTCGACTCTGTCGATCGGGAAGTTCTCTGGAGATGCTTGGCTGTAAAGGGAATTCCAAGAAAATATATTGCACTGATTAAGGCACTCTACTCGTACTCATACAGCCAGGTGAGGGCTTACGGCGAGCTGTCATCTGAACTGATGACGACCAGTGGTGTCCGTCAAGGATGCCCATTATCTCCTTTTCTATTCAACTTCATCATAGATGTGTTAATGGACTTAACCCTAGGTGACTTCAGCGACTCAGGGATTGACTTGCTACCTGGGAATAATCTCGTTGACTTGGAATATGCAGACGATATAGTCCTTCTAGGCGAAGACGCTGACGAAATGCAGAGTCTTCTAAACACCTTGAGCCGCAATCTACGAATGTTTGGCATGCGATTCGCTCCCGCCAAATGCAAGATGATGTTACAGGACTGGACTACATCGACGCCTAGTTTAAAAATAGGAAGTGAAGTGGTAGAGCACGTTGACCGCTTCACTTATTTGGGAAGTACCATCAGCCCCAACGGGCTGATCTCTGACGAAATCTCAGCACGAATACAAGGGGCTCGTTTCGCATTTGTTAGTTTACGCCGACTCTGGCGTAGACGAGATGTTCGACTATCGACCAAAGGGCGGGTGTACTGCTCATCAGTCCGCTCCGTCCTCCTTTATGGTTGTGAGACCTGGCCACTGAGAGTGGAAGACATGAAAAGACTAGCTGTCTTTGATCATAGGTGCCTGCGTTCTATTTCCCGTGTAAAGTGGCATAATAAGGTGAGCAACATGGAGGTTAGGCGTAGAGTTCTAGGTAAACAGGGGAAATCAATCGACGAAGTCGTGAAGCTACAAAGACTGAGATGGTTAGGACATGTGTTACGTATGCCAAGCCATCGCCTCCCTCGACGAGCAATGTTAGCGGATATAGGGTCAGGCTGGAAAAAAGCTAGCGGCGGTCAAACAAAAACTTGGCATCAGTCAATGAAATCCACAACAGTTGGTCTAAGCCACGTAGGAAGGTGTAGACTTCCAGGCTGGGGTCCTCGGGACGGTAAAAATCTATGGTTGGAAACAATTGGTGACATGGCTCAAAATCGTTCTCAGTGGCGCAGATGCATCCACTCCCTGTGACTTATGATCTTCAATGAAACTGTTTTGTATTTCTTTATTACTCCTTTGTCTCACACCTCTGCTCACTGTTTCTATTATGCTTTTCTTGTACTTTCTTCTCTTGCTTCGCGTGCTACACGGAATGTGGCGACTTGAACTTCCGCACATTTGTGCAAAGTTCTATGTCGAAAACAGACAGACAGACAGTTAATTATCACTTCCCGTTGACTTGTTGATCTGACTAATTATTGTTAAAAAATATATCACCAGCTGATTGGTAAACTGCTGCGTATTGCAATAAAAATTATATATATATATATATATATATATATATATATATATATTATTTTGTTGTTGAAGCTGAGTGTCGAAGATTTCCAGATTGGTTTCAGGTTGACGAATGTGTTTCTTGTCTTCCCGATTCTCGCTCGATTTGACATCCTCGTCCGCTCCAACTGCCTGTAGTTGAGACAATGATCCCTAGATAAGTGAATGAAATAACCTCTTTCAAATCCCTCACATTGATGGTGATTGACACTGTTGCTATTGTTGTTGTTTGTTGGTTATTTTCATAACCTCCATCTTGTCTATGTCCACCTGCAGTCCTGTCTTCGCTGTCTGCTTCTTCGACCGGTTTGTCGGTTTTCGCTTGTAAGTCTTCGATTTTGTGTGACATCAAACATAAATCATCCACGCGCGAAATCCATGTCTTCGAGGTTCTTCACGTCTGTCCAGGTTATCCCTGTCTTCTCGTCTTCCACTGTCTCAGGCATAATCCAGTCCACCACAATAAGGAATATCATTGGTGATAATAAGCCAGCACCCTTGTCCGACTCCTGTGTTTACCTCAATCGCCTCATTGAGTTTTCCGTTGTAAATCACTTGACATGTGTCGTTGTCGTACAGGATCTCATTGAAAAGTAAATGGGAATTTTCCCTCATATTTTTTACCTTTAATCTATATTTCAGTTATACTGGGAAGGCTTTTCTCTCACTTTTCATTGACACAGCAAAAGATGCAAACGATCTTCCCAAGAATTAGTTATATTCATAGCTTATTTTTGTGTGTGGAAGATTACATGAAATCAAGTCATTATAAAAGGTAAAAAATGTAGTCAAATAGCCGAATGATGTTTATCGAGTTTATCCCATATAAGCAGTACCTATATTAGAGGATGATGATATACTGAAACTTGTAATAGTCATTTTACATCCATCAATTTCAACTTGAAATTGTTTCCCTGGATGATGGAGAAAGGAAACTGTATAAATAGCCATATCGAATTCAGGTGATGAACCAATAAAAACACTTCCAACTGGCTTTTCATATTTATCCCCTTCGATAAATTTTATCGTAAGAAGACGTTCATTGCAATTCTATTGTGAAAGTTGAAAATAAATAGAAAACAAAAAGATTATGTAAAACAAAATAGTGTTAAAAATGAGGAATATATGTATTTTAAAATTGCCTACTCAGAAGAAACTTACTTACTCTGTAGCAGATCAGAGAGTAGCTAGTGTAGAATGCTTTTAACCAACCATTCAGATGGTCTTGGGGTCGATTCCTGGCCGACATACTACTCCTAACCTCACCTAATTTATTATCTGATATTAAGTCTCGAGAAGACAGAAATGAGGCGTGAGGCTAGCAACCCTTACCCCTTTGAAAACGAAGAACAGTACAATTACTACAGTGAAACTTCACTGGTTCGAGCTTGAAGTCCTAATGTTCTACTCGAAAGTCCTACAGCAGTCGGTTTAAATCACTAGGCTACCAAAATTCGCATTCATCAAAACGCTTAAACGTTTCTACGTTTCTTATTGTTTTAATCGCACAATTATATGAAATGAACACTAAGTGAACTTGCGCGCCTATTTAACTGACTGCCATCTAGACGCCATCCAATTCTTGAAAGAAATGAAGAACAAACTTACAGAAGTGATTCTCTTCTCATGTATACCAATGCTACGTCATTTGATATACTTCAGATTATTACTGTGTAAGTAAACCCTGTATTAAGAGGGAATATTTTGGAACTGAATACACTAAAAATTTATGTAATATATGTTAATATATAATTGGTGGGTGGTGACTAGCAGTGGAATCCAGGACAACGAGCATTTCGTCCTATTTGGAACTCGTCAGCTAGATATGCCTGCATTCCCCGGTGAGTGATAATGCTCCACCGAGGCTGGAACCCAGTGCCCATAGTTTCAATCATCAAAGCGTTATCCACTCGAGCACTTAGGCCACGAGAGCCACCTCTTGTGCAATGGGTCATATTGATTATTGAATTCAATTTTAGATTTTTCTGTCGATTGATTAGACCGAAGTGCCTGGTCTCAGGTTGACATGTCGGCTTCTTGTGCAGATGATTCGACGATGTCTGGGCATGTAATTCGAATTTAATTGGTGGATGGTAACTAGCTTCTGAAGTTTCAGTAACTTTGGTGTTGTTTTTTATTCAATCTGCCGTCTTTATCGGGATTAATACTAAATAGGGGATATTGAAGAGTGTGTTTCAGCTAAAAATTAAAGCTCGACCTTTTATATGACCATAAGTGAGCATTCTACCGTTGAACAACTGGTGCACTCTCTTAATGATGTATTACTATTATTCCCTTGCATTTCGAGTAAAACATAGGGGTTCAGCAACACATCTCCGCTTTCTTCTATTTTCTGCTACCCTATCCAGCTGGGTTCACGATTCCCCATAATTTCTCATCTCTTCATCGCACGATCACCTTCCCTGATGACTCACTCGTCGCTTTTTATTTGAATTCCACTCGCATCTTGCGTATCTTGCATTCCGATTCTGACCTTGATATCGTCATCCGTTCTGCCTGTATTTGAAATGATGCATTGGATAATTGTGATCTTTCGTCCTTTTGAGTTGAATTTCGCTGTCATAAGCCTACAGGATGGAATTGGTTCCTACTGCATTAGGGCTTTGGCTGCCACTGGTGACATCATTATAGCCGATCACCGGCTCAGTGTGCTCACGGGTAACGAGACAGGAGTCGATTGCTGACTCAACCGTTGACAATTTTGACAGTCCACATGCATCCCATCTGCTCTCGCGGATACCCAGCACTTCCATGCTACCTAGGCAGTCTTTCCACTCTCGTACATTGTACGGACATTACACGCCCTCCTCTCCTATTCTTACTTTCATAGGGAGAATACAAATTGGCTGACTGACTGGCTTCCCGAAGACAGGCTTTCACCAACCACTCTACTGTGTCATTTCTCTTCTCCAATTTGAGCGAAGAATAAGATTGTTGTTATTTGAAATTTTTGCATTTTTAATGTATTCTTTATGCGTTGAAGTTTCTCTAGCAGTTTGTTAGCTTTTGTGATGTAGGATCGCTAGCTCCATGTCCAACCCTCCTTTTTTACCCAGGCTTGGGACCGTCTGGAAAACTAAAAAGTTGATTAACTAGGAGAGGTTTTAATGATTTATATCTAATGAGAAATCCTTGCATCAATATGTCATCAGTATCTGAGAGTGAGTTTTTCAACCTAAAGGTTTTTTCAACTCCAACAGTCAAGATAGTTATCTTTGATTTGCCTTCACAACGATAGTAAAGATAGCAACTATTTTCATTTTCATTTAGTGGCATTATTATTATTATTGTTATTAGGATAGATGAAATAAAGTGAACTATTGACAGAGAACTTTCATTCTCTCTCTCTTTCTTTCTTAATGATTTCTAGACGGAAATTCAGTCCCTTCTCTTTCTTTTCAATCGATAATTATTTTCTTCTGATTTTGGGTTTTAAATAGATTTTTATCACTGACTTAACTAGGTAAGTATTACTGTACTCGTAATTGCAGTTGAAATGCAGAGATAGTTTTAATCACTGTTCCTTCTTATTCTATGAAACACTCAACAGTTCAGTGAACTTCTGAGAAACTGGACCTTACCCCGCTTCCACACCTGTTGTGGAAATGATTCACAGTCTACCATCTTACTGATGATTCGTTTTTGGACTGTGGAAGGCAAAATGTTTGAAGAGATCAAAAAGACGCTTACTGATCAAATTATGAAATCATTTTGTGCAATGAATATATTCTGTGCTAATACAAATCACTGTTTTCGAAGAGTTAGTTTGTAGGGATTTAATTTGTTTTAAGTTTGATTACGAAGTGAAATGAGTTGGTGAAGTATTGAAAATCATGAAGTACTACACAGCTGTTTCTTCCTAGTTTCGAATTCTTCATCAGTGCGAGCTAATCTCTAGCTGGAATCAATCGGTCGTCAAACCTGGGGTTCTAGTGAGAAGCCGTGACCATTAGGGTAAAGCAGGTTGAAGGTGAGGCAGTAACTCATCTAAGAAGATACTGAGAAATGGTCGTGCGATGTCGTGAATTGGCAGGAGTTAGAACCCATGGGTCGCTGGATCGAGTCTCAGTGGCTTAATGGTCTACAATCTCACCTTGTAACCAGAAAGTCCTGGGTTTAAACACTGGCAGTGGGTGCATACTGATGAAGAGTCCCAGACCAAGCTGACGAAACAGTTGTCCAGTACTGCCTACAGGTTTTCCAATGGTTCTCTAACCGATGTCAGCTCATAATGGAATCGTTCAACCAATCAAACTTGAAACAAACCAAATTTCTACGAACTAACTCTTGAAAATTAATCTAATGCTCTCTACTGACTGCCTACAGGACAAAGTTACCTAGAGTTAGTTCTAGTGATAAATCGTGATCAGTGAGGTCCACCAAGTCAGGCATGAGGGCGAATACTTGACGATGACATTGTCTGGTGATTATGCTTAAATCACAAATGGTTAGAGGTTATAACTTAGCAACCCATCCTGTAAAAATAAACACTGCTACAGAAACTTCAAGCACTAGCTTGGAGCCTATGTTCCACTGGGAACGTGAAGGAAAAATTATTTTAAACTGATCGGCTTTTGGATTCCATTTCATTGGCTCAGTGGTATACGAGCTCGGTTTGCAACCTGAAAGTCCAGTGTTCAAGCTGCTGAGGAGTCCAAAAGAATTGGGAAACATCTTTTGAGTACACTCTGGTTTTCAGTGATTCTCTAACTGACATCAATCCGTGATCCAATTCGAAACAAATCACTTCATTAAACCTGTAGATACCATTAATTAACTATAGTTGTTTCAACAGTCAAGGTAAATGAGACAAAGTCTTCCAACGAATCGATTGACAAACTGTTTTGTAACAGATGTCATCTGTGCAGTGAATCCATAGTTTGGTTTTTAAACAGATTACATTGTAATGAGAAACCGAAAAGAGTGAACCACCTGACTTTAATAGAGTGTAGCATTCCAATTGTTATACTTTGATTAAGTATACCCCAACGTATAGAAAATAAGTGTGATCAAACTACACTGGACGAATATATATTAGGGAAGGAGAATAATTAGACAAATGCTCAATTGTTTTCTTCCTAGACACAGGCTTCATTCTCGTATACAAAGAAAACTGGACAAGTATGGAGTATGTAACTTCTTGTTTTCGTCTAAGTTATAGACTTACACATTCATGGAATTAACCTAGATGTTTCAGAGGAAACTGTGATCTTTCAATAACATTTTTCCTCGGTAGATTATAACTTTGGCGATCAATTTATGTCCACCGTCGGAATCATATTGGATGATTCTGTCAGACTCCTCAGAAATTGTCACTAGTAAACAACAGTTGAAAGTATTCAGGCATTTGCTGAATTATCGATTATGTTCAGCCTAGTGGTTGATTGTCTTTTTATTCCTCTGTGTTGTCAATAAAGTAGAGTGTTTCAAGCTTTGAAGTAGCGGTGGTTCTGTTTATCGAAGGCAGGGTTACTAACCTCTGTTTTCCAGGATTACCGCTAACTGATAATTCAAGAGAGATTGAGAAGCATATCGGCGGGAAAAAGGTTCGGACTACATGCTTAGTTGGCGGGTAAAGTTGACCGTTAAGAATCCTAGATTCAACGAATTATCAGGCTATAATTTAAATGCCGTGCTATATATATTGACAACATTTAATGTGTGATTACTGAATTATCCGCAGGCGAAAATCAACAAGCTCTCTGAAGTAACAGACAGTGAAGACAGGGCTCCAATTGAACATTGAAGATAACCAACGAACCGCATCATCATCAACAACAACCAGCACCAATCACCATCAACGTCAGAGATTTGACACAGGTTACTGCCTCCACTTATCTGGCAATGAAGCATCGTTTCAACCACAGGCACATGGCACGGATGAAGATGTAAAACACCAGCCAGAATCGGAAAGGCAAAATACTCGCCTTCACCAATCTAAAACCAGATTGGAAATCTCCTGCACTCAGCCAGCATAAACAACAAGATTCGGATTGTCAACACAAATGTGAAGTCAGTCAGTCAGTCAG